TTATAGCTCATTTCTTGGTTTCTTAATACGTTTTGATTTTATAAATTACTTTTGGGTTTATATTTGAAAATATTGATTAGTTTGTGCAAGCTAAGACTTTCTTTTTCTCTATTGCCTCCCAAAGATAATACAGAGGATGTAGCTGTGTTGGAAGAAAGCACTAAAGACAATCTTGAACCTTTAAAGAGTAAGCAGGGTTGGCCCAAAGGAGTTAAGCGTGGTCCATCTAAATGGAGGCAAAGCAAAGAAAGAAAACCTGGCTTTAAGCTTAATTTATACACTCCACCCGAGACTCCTCTGGAGCCTGACTATCAGGTGCTGGTGGAAGAACAAAAGGAAGTGGCTGAAGACAAGCCCTGCTCAGTTCCTGCTGTTACGGAGGAAGCTGTTAAAGAACCCCTTGAAGTATTGCCACCACCAGAGGATGAGGTGAAAGAGGTAGAACCTGAACCTCTGCATCCACCCAGTGAACCCTTCGAAAAACAAGAAAATGATACCATGAATGCTGGGGAAGAAGAAAGGAGTATAGAAGGTGGTGGAATCAATTCAAAAGATCAAGAAAAAGACAAAGCAGAAGAAGTGTTTGTGCAAAAAGAGGAGTCCGTGCATTTGGATGATCAGGAGGAAGAGGAGGAGGAGGATGAAGAACCTTCTCACAATGAAGATCATGATGCAGATGATGAAGATGATAGCCACATGGGTTCAACAGAAGCAGAGAAAGAGGAATTGCCTGGTGAAGCTTTCAAGGAAATGCTGGAAACACAACAATCTTTTTTAGACGTGAATGTTCAAACTGGTAATTCGAATCAGGAGGAGTTAATGGATTGTGGTGTTGACCTTGCAGCTGATGAGTGTGAAAGTGACCAGAAAGAACTTGCTACGGATTCAGACCCAGTGCCTGAATCCGATGATGATCATACAGGTAACAACCAGGACCAAAAAGCTGGTGAAGAATTACATTCCGATTTCAAGGGAGAGAGTACTGAGACCATGGAGATAGACTCAGAGACAGTTCAAGCAGTACAGTCTCTAACCCAAGAAGCAAGTGAACACGAAGATACATTTCAGGACTGTGCAGAGACTCAAGAGGCCTGTAGAAGTTTGCAGAACTATGCCCATAATGACCAAAGTCCCCAAATGACCACACTGGATGACTGTCAGCAGTCTGACCACAGTAGCCCAGTTTCATCTGTGCACTCTCATCCCAGCCAGTCAGTTCGTTCTGTTAATAGTCCAAATGTTGCTCCTTTAGAGAACAGCTATGCTCAGATCAGCCCAGATCAAAGTGCCATTTCTGTGCCGTCTCTACAGAACATGGAGACCAGCCCAATGATGGATGTTCCCTCAGTTTCTGATCATTCGCAACAAGTTGTGGATAGTGGGTTTAGTGATTTAGGAAGTATTGAGAGCACAACAGAAAACTATGAAAACCCAAGCAGTTACGATTCTACAATGGGTAATAGTATCTGTGGAAACAACTCTTCTCAAAACAGTTGCTCGTACAGTAGCCTTACATCTAGTAACCTAACACAGAGTAGCTGTGCAGTGACCCAGCAGATGTCTAGCATTAATGGAAGCTGCAGTATGATGCAACAAGCAAACATCAATTCTCCTCCCACTTGTAATGTAAAATCTCCCCAAGGTTGTGTTGTTGAAAGGCCTCCCAGCAGCAACCAACAGTTATCCCAGTGCAGCATGGCTGCTAATTTTACACCACCTATGCAGTTAACCGAAATCCCTGAGACTAGCAATGCCAACATTGGATTATATGAAAGAATGGGGCAGAGTGAATTTGGAGCAGGGCATTACTCACAGCCATCTGCCACCTTCAGCCTTGCCAAGCTGCAACAGTTAACTAATACGCTTATGGATCATTCTTTGCCTTACAGCCATTCAGCTGCTGTAACTTCCTATGCAAACAGTGCCTCTTTGTCTGCCCCCCTAAGTAACACAGGGCTTGTTCAGCTTTCTCAGTCTCCACATGCTGTTCCTGGAGGACCCCAAGCACAGGCTACCATGACTCCTCCCCCCAACCTTACTCCTCCTCCCATGAATTTGCCACCTCCCCTTTTGCAGCGTAATATGACTTCATCGAATATTGGAATATCCCACACCCAAAGACTGCAGACTCAGATGACTGGCAAAGGTCATGTTTCTGTAAGAACCAAATCCACGCCTCTGCCACCGGCTGCTGCAGCCCATCAGCCACAAATTTATGGGCGTGCTTCACAGACTGTGGCCATGCAAGGGCCTGCACGGACCTTAACAATGCAGCGTGGTATGAACATGAGTGTAAATTTGATGCCAGCCCCAGCTTATAATGTCAATTCAGTGAACATGAATATGAATACCCTTAACGCTATGAATGGTTATAGCATGTCCCAGCCAATGATGAATAGTGGCTATCACAGTAATCATGGGTATATGAATCAAACCCCCCAGTACCCTATGCAGATGCAGATGGGAATGATGGGAACTCAGCCATATGCACAGCAGCCAATGCAGACAGCACCCCACAGTAACATGATGTACACTCCTCCAGGCCATCATGGCTACATGAATACAGGCATGTCTAAACAGTCTCTCAATGGATCCTACATGAGAAGGTAGGCCCTTGGGAGAGACACACTACCAAACTGGCGTATTGGATTGATCTGCACAAATACCTTTTTGGAGAATACGATTTCAAAACCAGCAATTGGTGTGAATGCAAAAACATTTGTTGGCACCATTTAAAAGCTGTATGCAGCAGAAAGCCTTATACAAGTTTTTCTTTATTTCTTATTTTGGTTTTTTTGGTTGTTTGTTTGGGTTTTTTGTTTTGTTTTTTTAACTTTGTGAGATTTAACTTCTCTTTGGGGGGAATTAGATGGTTTTCCATTTTCTGTTTATTTCATTGAGCTTGAAGTTCTCTGGAAAGGAAGAACTCTTTCTTTGAACTGCAATTACACAGCAGCTGATGGTTCAGAGCCATTTTATGTGCCTGCTCCCATTAAAAATGTGGATAAATAGACTCCAAAACTATCAGACAGTACTGGATCATGAGCTTTTTCTCTCTCCTTTCCCCACATGTAAATGCCTTTTAGCAGTTCTTTTATTGTATTATTTTGTTTCTGAAGGTGACACTTCTGCATGCCGCTAATGTCTTTGTTAGTGACAGTGCATTTTGTAGTACTGTACAAGTGTTGTGCTTAACAGTAAGCCATTTCTTAATTTTTTTGCCTTGATTAGGTTACCCTAGTTTGAAGGGTGAAAAACTCAGAACTATATTTTTGTTAATTATAAAACTTGTAAAAATAATAAAAAAAGCTGCAAAAGCTATTCACATTTTGGTTAGTTCAAAGGGTTTTATTGCTGTATGTTTAGTGTAAAGTTGAGACTCTTTTCCATTTTTGTGACCAGTTTCTTTGGGGCTGGGGTAGGAAAAAAGGCAGCTTTCTGTTTTATAAATACTGTTATGTTTTTTTGTTGATTGAAACATCTCAGTGTTTATTTGTCAAGTTTTGAAACATTTTCGTATATGTCCAAATACTTGGCAGGATTTAAAAAAAAAAAAAAGTAGTGAATTTGGTGTAAAGTTGCTATTTTATGGAAATGCCTCTAACTTTACATTTTCATTCCATCTGTAGATTTTTCTATCTTTATAAAATATTGGAGTTATTTTTTAAGGGAAAAAATAGAGCAGTAGCGTGTGAATAGCTCAAACTAAGCTTACAGATCGCATGTAAAAAGGCAAAAGTTATTTGTGTCTGTTTATATTGCTTCCTTTTTTGTAGCCTTTGTACCTGTACAGAGTGACTGTAAGGGCCGAACAGAAGAGGCTTGATACATGTAAAAATAGGACCCAGTGACACTCTTGTATTTATCTGTTATCTTTTTAGTCAGTCACTTAAAAAAAAAATCCACAAAAAACCCACCCAAGCAACAAAAATAAAAACTGCAAAAAACAACCCCCCCCAAGCTGTACATTTTAACATAAAATAAATTATGATGAGCCATTTTTAGCCTCTTGTGTCTTGTCATAGTTTGATGTTGCATGGGAATTACCTCCTGAAACAGTGTTTGTTACGGTGCTCTCACATGCTTGATCTAAAGCCCATTAAAGTTGGTGGGGTTTGGATTAGGCTGTTAGAGCCTAAGTGTAGGTTACTCATCATAATTGCATACACCTTGTGAAAATAAAGAGTATCTAAGATTATTTTTTTAAATAATCTTAATAAAATATTGAATAAATATGTATTTAATACGCTAAAAGGTTGTCGATATTTAATGTATGAAACTTCTTTCCTATAGAAAGTGTTAATATATATATATATAAAAGGATATATGATAGTAACTGACATGGTGTTTGAACTGTATTTTAATGATAGAATTGTAATCTCTTCCTTTGTCACTGTTGCTGGGCGACAAGATGATGCAAATTCTCTGTATATGGATATGGGTGCACACAAACATACACACATAGATGAACACTTCTAATCTAGCAGTAGGTGGTCTCTAAATATCAAGAAGACTGTCTATACATGCAGCTTGTGAGTGGACAAGTTCAAATGTGGTACATTTGAATCTACACCAGAAAAAACCCCTTGTCACAATTTTTTCAAAATGCTTCTAATGTGATTGTTGCCACTGAATTCCCCCTTAGCCCATTGACACTGCAGGAAGGTTGTTGGCTGAGGTGAAAGCGTTGGTCATCTTGACTGAAACTGTGTCCCCGTTCCAGTATATAAAGCAGCTTTATAGGTAGTATTTCACATACTCAAATGTCAAAAAAAGTGTGTTTCTTCAAATAAAACCATTACTGTATGGTGTTGCAAAGTCAAGAAACTGATACTAGAGATTCATGTGTGTAACCTGTTCAGTTCTAGTATGGGGGAGCAGCAGTTTAAGATAGTGGATCTGAATGGGAGCTAAAATTGCTGATGAAATGGTAAGTTGGGGTAACTTGTGTTTTAGGAGTTCAGAACACTTGATAAGGAGAGCACAATACAACAAAGATCTTGGTTCATACCCCTTAGGTTGTCAAATTTGTTTATTAAAGGCAGAGAGTATTAATAGTACTTAAATTATGTTTTCATTTTCACAAAATAACTGTCAACTTTTTTATGCTTAGGAAAGGGAAAGGTGAACTCAACACAGTTATTTGCAGCCTTCAAGTATGTTTAGCGAGGACCATATCTTTTTAAATAATTGCATCTCAGAGTAGCAGTGTGCTTTGTGATTTTTCGTTTGTGTGTTTTTACAGTGAATGAAAAAGGCACCTGGGTCTTTTATCTGCTGCTGTTTAGTTTTGAGTTTCGAAGCCTGTAACATAAAAGCAAATCAGACTTTCTTACTGTTTCAAATTTGTGCTAACCTGAAACAGAGCATCCTGACTCCAGCATATTGCCAAAATTCTGTATTTGCAATATATGAATTAAAGGTTGGTTGGAAAATTAGGTATAGCATGTGCACAACAGGCAAGTTTCCAAACTATTTTTTTTTTATTTCAGAATTGAATTCCTGTCAGGAGGACAAGGAGCTTTCCTACATCTTTTGCTGTAGTGACTATTTAGCTATGAATTGCCTTACTGCACTAAAATTTCTTTTATAAGAAGGCTGTCTTTCCCTTTACAGATATACTTGTTTTATGTATTGTATACCCATTGCAGTGTCAGTTTTGACTATGTAGTCTAACACCATCCCAGATGAGAATTAGCCCTTTCTTTTAGTGTCCCCAGAAAATTCTTCACGGAATTGCAATAGATTATTCTTGTGGAATGCAGGAGGCTTCCTTGTCCATGCAATCTTAGTCTTTGGTTTGACAAATAGTATACTCCATACCACTAGTGATTGGCAAGAAGGAGGTAAACTTGCCTTGTTCTGTGTATGTTTCTTGCAGACCTGGTTTATAGATGAAATCAGTGCTGCTAACACTTGTTAGTAGCTAGTTAGCAGCTTGCAAGAGTTGCCTGCTTTGTGGAAGTCACATGTTCCAGAACTTCTGCTTTTTCTGATTTAGTCTAATGGATTCTGGGAGAATGGTAGGCAAGAAAGTTGGGAAGTAAATGAGAAATATGTTTACTTCAGAACTGTTTAATGGTCACAGCTGTACCAGCTGAGTCCTTCAGGCAAGACCTGGTTCTAGGGAAGATATTTACTTGTCTTTGAAGCAGAACATACTTCATCTGGAAGCTGCCAAAAAGGCAGTACTGAAAGCTGCACTCTGGCCCTTTAGTGAAGACAGGAATGGTGAGTGTTGTTGCACTCAGGCTACCTGATCCCCTCGCAGTGGACAAAATATAACCCGTTTTTTACTAACTTTGTAAGAATCTCTGTGATAGAAGCAGAAACGATGAGCTGCTAAACATACTAATCTTTCATATTAGATCACTGTCAATATCTTTCAGTTTTATAAGCTGTTAATTTATCCATCAGGCAGGCTGGTTGATGGAAACAAACTGCATTTATATCCAGCATGGTAACTAGAAAGAATGACCCTGGCTGTAGAGCTGAGAGTGATCAATTATGCATGTAAATCAACAAATCCTCTTTCGGTTACAGCAGTTATCAAGCTATATGGCAGGATACATGTAATTTGACTGAGGGAAATCCTGGTGGATATTTGTTATCTTTTGGTATATCATTTGGTACAGAATTCCTGTCTGTAAAGCTAATGAGAAGAAATACTCTGCTGCCATGGAGGTGAGAGTGTTCAGCTTTCACCATCAGCCTAAATGAAAGAGCAGGACCATGCATCTGAAAGCAGGTTTATCTAACACAAGGCTGGGAGAACTGTTCCATGTTTGAGTTTGTGAATTAAACTGCAATAGACACTAAGGTGGTCTAAAAAGTTACATTTGAATGTCTGTGGAAGTAGATGGAAAGAGTCGAGGGACCTCATCCGAAAATATTTTTACTCTAACCCCATACTGTGAGTGCTTATTTATTTTTGAAGTGTCAGATTACTTCAAGTTCCCTATTTTTTTCTAGGTTTTTTTCTGGGTGTTTCCCCCCCCCCAGTTGAAGTGTAGAGATACTTAATTTGCTGGAAGTCCCAGAGTTTGTGTGTCTCTATCATGAATATTTTTCACGTTATGATGTCTCATTTGTTTTTTAGCAGTAGTCAATTGCAGTCTGAGAATTTAAAGATAAGGTATTTATTATGCAGATAAATACAAATGATAAATCAAAAGCATTGTATTATGGGTGTCTGCAGCCTTGACTCCAGTTAGTGTTTAGAGATGAATGATTTCCTGGGTTTTGGGCCCCAGAAAGATGTGAAGGAATAGGAAAGTCTTCGCACAAGAGATGGCTAGCCTGTGAAGAGCTGTTAACATATATAAAAATGGTATAAAGTTGTGCTCAACTCTGGTTTGTAGCATATCCTCACAGTTCTCAGTGTTGCACTTGTGCCCTGTGTTCTTCTTTTTTAAGTATACAAGACTTCTACACTTTATACTGCGCTGAAGTTGCAAGGTCTTGTGTCAGGTGGTAAAGACCAAGAGCACTTTCCTGTCTGCTCGATGGCCAAGTCATTCTTTGCAGGCACTGAGGCACCAAATAGCTCTTGCCTGATACATTGAAATGGGCAAAATTCTGGTGGAGAGGGTGATGACTTGAGCTTTTAGCAGATACGGGAAAGGTAAACATGGCTTAATTGTGATCCTCCTGTAAAGTACATTTTAAAAATGTCAAATGCTGCTGGGGTGGCAAAACTCTCATTTGTGTCAAAACACAGTTTGATAATTTATGTCGAATAGGGTAAATGGAGTAAGGTTGGGCAGAAAAGTAGGTCTGGTGTCCCCATTAGTGTATTTGTACCACTTCTGCCAACAAATGATATTATTAACAGATGCACCTATATAGGAGCATAATGACCTATTCAGGTGACTAAAGCTGAGATAGGAGAAAACATGTGGTAGTGATAAATATAAACAGTGTCTGGAAACACAACAGCAGCTTTTTCCAGGGTAGTCAGGTCACTGGTATTTTTAAAAGGCTTCATTGGTGTCTCATGCCTTTTCTAAAACCTCATTAGAACTGGTTATAATCCATAGTTATTTAGGGGCTATATTAGGGCTCCACATGTTCAGCACTGAACTTCCTCATAACAATGTAAAGGCACTTCTTTATGTATAGAACCTTGTAAAATTTAGGTAATTGAAGGATTTAGGACAAGTTAAGCAAGTTAAAACTGAAACTCCTAAAATGTCATGTGTATGTATCTCCTTAAATTGTTGTCTGTTGTAGCTGCTTATGCATCTGACCTTGTCAAGGGTGTTGCTTTGTTTCTAGTTTGCATGGTGTGCTGCAAAGTACATTGTGAAGGCTGAGTAGTTGATCCACGTGTGGAGACTCTTTAAACACTATGCTGCCATAGATTATTACTCTGAAAGAAGACATGGAGATGGCAGGAAACGACACAAAAAGGCAAACTCCTGTGAAATCCTTCAGAACTCTGGACTAAACATTTTTTTTTTCTTGCAAAATTTCTTCAGGAGTGCCTAGCTGCACTTGTTTAAAGGCAGTGTCCTTGGGTTAGGATCAGGATTTTGGGGGTACTCAGCTAGAGGAGAGTTTTAAGTTTTTGTGCTGTAAGAGCACAAAGAGACAGAGAAACGTATTTGTTGATGTAACAAAGAATTCTGCTAAGGCTGGAACTTTCTAAGACGATGGGTTTTAAATTTGGCCTCCCTTCTTTCTCATCTTGACAGCATTTGAAATGACTTTGTTTTTTTCCAGCTAATAACAAATGATCCTTGTGACTGTGTAATTAACTACAGCTTCCCCTCCCCTCCTTCTATGGAGTTTCTTTTCCAGTAGCACAGCCCTGCCAGGAGCAATACTAGATGGTGGTGCTGTTCTGCTCGCCGACAGGTGGTAGGCTGTTTTTGCTGTTCCTCCTCTGCAGTGCCAGTGCTATGTCCAGTTCTCTCAGCTGCTTCAAGAAGCCCCGGTTTGGCAAGATGCACCGGTGTCTTGACACTTGCTCAATGGCATCCACCACTGTCATGTTCTTGTAAATCATCAGGTAAGCCAAGACCAGTGTGGCTGAGCGGCTGCGACCCATGGCACAGTGAACCAGAACCTTGTCTGTGGGAACAAAGAGAAGTGATGCAGAGGTGACACTGGGTAATCCTTTTCTTTGACAGTGAAGGTTTCTGTAGTGCCCCTGCTCTGTTTGATGGTTTGAATACCCTTACCAGCAATTTGTAAGGCCTGTCTTTTCACCTGTGGGGAATCTGAGGCTGTAAACCTTACTGTAGTAACTGAACAGCATCTACAGTAGAGATGATCCATTTAATTTTAAACCAAGTACCTTTTTATTTGTGAACAAAGCTTACAGAGAAGGTCTAGGGGCTACAGCCTTGCATTAAGTAACATAGCAAGCTCTACTGCAGCCCAGTCTTACATGCCTCACAAACAGTGTGCATGTAATTCTGTGTTTGGGAATAATGAACAAAGCACAAGGGTGTGGGAGGATTTGGTATGCTATCATACCCTCCTTCCATGAGGATAAATGGGATGCATGTGGGGTGCCTTTCTCAGTTCTACTTAGCTAGACACAAAGTAACCAAACTTGATTTTGTTTTGTTGTTCTGATGTGCTTTGAGATCTAGATTGCATCACTTTATGCCCATTTTTGAGGGCAGAGGATAAGAAAGGCCATAGGCATATGACCATGGGGTGGAAAGAAACCACCTCTTACACTGTAGAAATGCTTCTGCAGAAATCTCTGGCTAGTCACCCTGTTGTGTTTAGTGAAAGTAATATTTCACCACCACCACCCACCATCATCTCTCTGAGTGTTCTAATATGATCATCTCCTTGCAGTAGGAGCCTGTCTTGTATCCTGTGAATGCAGTGTCTTTGCCAATAGTTTTCATCTCTGGATAAATGTGGCTTGAGATTTAGATTTAGCTTTATGACATTGCCTGGTTTAACTCGAGGCTTCCAGAGGCAGAGAGTCCTTGGCTTTGGGTACTAGCAAGGTGCTAAGTCAAAGTGGAAACCTCCATGTTTGCAGTGTCTGTGGGACATGGAGAAAGAAAACAGTAAGTGGTTAAGGTCTGATTGACAGGTTTTGAAACACTTCAAAAGATTTTCAAAAATGATTCAAAGCCCTTGAGGGGGTCTCACAAAGGGTTGAACTGCTGAAGGAAGTAGATCTGGAGCATTCTCTTTAACACCCTGCTAAGCAATTGCCACAGGAGAAAAAAAAAACCAGAACAACTACTATCAGGGCCAATAATAGTTTATCTTTGTGAGCTGTACCTAGTGAGAAGTGTTGGGTGCAAAGCCATGACTCCTGCTGATTAACTCCTTTACTTCCAGGCACAAGAGGATGTCTTGGCACAAGCAGCATTGCTGTGTAATGGATGCATCAAGAACTGCCAACACTAGAGGATTAATGGTTACAGTCTGCATCGTAATCCCAGCAGATAGTCTTAGAGGCATCTTGGCAAAATTCCAGTCCTTCTGATAATTAAAAGTGCCTCTTCCTCTCCTGGAAAATTATAATCCATTTTATTATTACTGCAGATATTTAAAATGGATGAAAACTCATTTGTTCAACCCTTCACTGCTTCTCTTTAGAGCTTCCCACCTTGTAAATGGGTTGCTGTTGAGGTGATAAAATACATGATAGGACAAGGAATGCTTTGCTTTGTGTGGGTGGCAAATGCAGGGGATCTAGGAGAAAACGTGGGTTTATATTGTTAACAAAGGCAAAAAAGGGCTGTATAATTTTCTGAAATGTCTGCTGGTTTGAAGAGAAGTCTATTGTTTGCTGTGTGTGAATAGTCAAGATCTGACTGCCTGTTACACAAAACACTGGTACTCTTCTGCAGAGCCACATCCCTTCTGTCCTATTTTGTAGTTTCTTTCATTCTAGTGCAAAGACCACTCTGAACTTTCTTTCCTCAGAAAGGAGTCTGTTTTTGCAGACCCTGACTACTTACATCCTTCAAGGAGTGCCTGAATATCCAGTATCAGTGCGCAGAGGTAGAGGTCTGCTGAGTGGTGACAGGTCACTATTTTGTTTACTTGACTTGGATTTGTGTTTCTTGAAAATTTCTTTCTCTTGATGCAGCAAAGATGGAACCATGAATATTGAGGTGTCTTTGGTCAAATACCTGGGAGTCTTTGTCTCGTGTGTTTCTTCTCACTTTGTTTTTTTTGTCTGTGTCTTTAATGTATTTTTCCTGTGCCATTTTCACATGGAGTGAAAGTGCCATTCCCTTCTACATCTTGAGGAACTAAAATTGCAAAGGAATAACTACTAAATCTGTAACATAATAGGGAACCTAAAAGCCTCTTAAAATAATGTCTTCCTTTCATGTTAGTGAGGCCTCACTGATAAAAATTTTAATTTGTCCTATGGTCTGAATTGCATGTTTTGGGAAAGCTTTATGCACAGCTGAATGACAGCATGCATAATTGTGAACCATTACAGTTTGCCTGTGAAACTTATAACTGTTCTTAAGTCTAGCAGCCCATGCTTAAACTCTGCAAATACTGCTCTGATCAAGGAATTTCTTTACCATCATAAAGATCTTGAATGTTAAGTCAGAATTACTGCATTAGGACTGTTTTGGCAACATCCAAATTGCGAAGCTTTCTGGTCTGTTGCAGAAAGAGCCTTCTTCATTTGAATGACAGCTTGTTTCAATAACATTGGCTGTTGAGCACCTTCCCAGCAAAAATAATTTTATGCAGACATCTATTCAATTAATTTGATCGCATGACTGGCTGAAGGTCACACACCAAACAGTGTAATACAGCTGAAGTAAAAAAACATAGATCATTAATACATACATTCTGGTCACATAAGTTGAAACTTATGTCTTTCCCCCCTTTTCCCTCTCTACATTTGCTCTGTTCTAATACAAAGCAGCAAAGCAGTGTAATGTTGTTACTGGCCAGAAGTATTTACTACATGCTGAAATCCCATGTCATTACCACTGGAGATAAGTGCTTGGTTACTTAGTATAAAATCCTGTTTAGGAATCTGGATGCTCTGTCAGTCAGGAAGGTGCACACAAATAGCCTGTTCATCAGGCACTTGAAATGCAAAACACCTTTTTACACTAGATGTGCATCCACAGATTGTGCAATTATGTTCTTGGAGGAGAGCAGTAGTTTCCTCTACTCTTTTCTCTCTGAGAGGCATCAGTCCACTCTTCAGTCTAGCTTCTGGAGTCATTCTGTTCTGTAAATGTTTATTGGAAAACCATTGTCACGCTTTTAAACCTCAGCGTCTCCCTGGGCCATGCATAGTGTCTTTATGCAGGTCTTTGGCTGGGATAAGATATGCATACATGTGGTGTGCTTTTCCCTCATGATAAAGTTAAGAGCTTCCTCTTTTTCTTCATGAGTATTGTGGTAGTTCTTTATTTTATTGGTCTCCATCAGAATAGATCTTAGCTGTCTATCTTGTTTAAAAGCCCTGTGAATGTGGCAGGCACTGCACAGCTACAGAAATTATTGCAGTTGGTAGTATCTATTTTTTTTGTTTTGTAGTTCATTCAGTCATTTTTGGATTTGGTTTCATGTGTCAGTGCTGGACTGGTGCTTGATACTGTCTCAGAACTTCCTGGACTTTGATGTGATTTTGAAACAAAAAGGTTAATACTTCCCTGCACCATTTCATCCTTTCCTGCCTCAATATTTATTGGAATGCAGGGGTTTTTTCCTAACCTTTGCTGCTTCCCTTGTGCTTGTTTCTCTACCTCAGTACAGCAGACAAAGGTCTTACAGGAACAGGAGGGTGGTGGGAATGAGAAAGTCTGCATTTCTTATTCCAGCTACTCCAGTCTGATTCTGACCTCTGGCCTCCAGCCATGGCTAGACACAGGTGAGTGTTAGTTATCCACTCCTTTCCAAAGGCAGTGCTTCAGACGTACGTTTTGAAATGCCAGGTGCATTTCTTCACAAGCAAGTAAGCTCCTGGAGCAGTTTCTCTTGCTATTAGGACTTTGATTTTTAAAACTGATCTGCTTTCAAGATTTTCTCCAGAACAAGGGAAGGGACTGTTGCCGTGGACTGTACTTGCTGAAAGGGTAGAATTGTAAAGGCCTGGCTGGCTATTGGAAGTAAGTCAGGTAGTAGCTGGCTACAGCTGAGCTAAACAGGCAAGAACAGAAGCTGACACAAGGCTAGAAACTTGATATCTGACCCTCTGATATTAAGGTCTCTATATGTCAGCAGGAAAGTCTTAAGTTTCTCAACTGGTTTCTGGTAAAATATCCTGTAGAGATTTATTTTTTTTTAACAAGTATGAGGGGGGAAGGAGTGGGAGTAATATTGAAAGTCAGTATGAGGCCTAGCTGTAGCACTTCACATCAGTGTAAAGCTTTCTGATAGAACGCTGCTGGAGATCAGCAAATAATGAATTGTAGTAATCAAGCTGAGAAATTACAAAGACTTTAATGAAATGTTTCTAGATTACTGCTGTCAGAGCTGTTTTGGTTCCCTGCTGCTTGGAAGATGGCGGAGAGATAAATGTTATAGGTTGGGGTAGATCTGATGGTCAGGTAGGGAGGGTGGTTTCTATGTTTATAACATGAATCTAATGCTGTAGAGCATGAAGCTGTGGAGTGACAGCATGGAATCTCTGGGAGCACTTGTGTCCTATTCCTGCTGCTATGCAACTAATATTCATTAAACCTATGTTAATAAGGATAATTTGAAGAAAAAACAGCTAATTTGTGGCACCCTTGCAATGTCCAGTTGTCTCTAATGTGTTTATGACGGAGTCAAAAAAACAACAAAAAATCTCTATCAGACAGGACACCTTGATTCAAGCTGTGATGAGGACTTTTATCGAAGTGCTTGGTAAGGGGCTCTTGGGCTAGTATTAGTGAGAAAGGTCCTAATTACATCACTACCATGTCTTAAGCTGGTTCCCTACTATTAGCTTTGTATTTTCTGTTAACCTGCATTGGACTTGTTTCGTTCCTACAAGGTTAAATGCTGTGGAACTATGCTTTTAATCGGAGTAAATGTTGAACTGTTTTTAACCATTTTCAGCACCCTCCTTACTTCTTTCATCCTGAAGCGCATTATCAATGAATTTAGAAGCTGAATAAAAGAATTGGCTGAGGTTGAAAGTGGGGAGATCATCTGCTTCCACTCCATGGTACTCCACAGCCATGTTGTGATAATACTCTGGTCCTGTATCCACGTTCCGCTGACCATGGGCTGCGTTGAGGATGTGGGTGAATCCCTCCTTCTCCAGGCTGTAGCGATCTAATGCAGTTTTTCTGTTAAAACAAGAGCTGTCATGTAAGTCAAGAAGCTTCTTATTCATCAAGCTAGAAAATAAACTTAAGAAAACCTCTGATTGGGCATATTCTAAATGTTAATGATGTAAATGATAATGCTGTAACAATGCATCATTTACCATTTTAAGGATCTTAAGATACTGCCATTTGGAGTGAATAATCTTTCTGGAGTTCATAACTATATCTCCCAGGTCCTTAGAACATGTTGAAAATTAATTTATTTTCCTGTTGCCTTTGTAATGTAGGCAGTACTGCTTCTATCCATCTTTTACAAGAAGAAACCTGAGCTAGAAAAAGAAATAGAATGAATTATTTAAAGTCATAAAAGCAAATCAAGTGGCAGAACTTGAAACAGCACCCACGAATGCTGTTTTCCCCTTCTGTCCCATCAATTGGTATTGCAGAACTAATAAAAAAGTCAGTAATATGTGAGTAGTAAAATCATCTGGTATTCAAAAAGAAGCTCTTCTTCCCCAAAAGAAGTTACTGAGTGTTTCTCCATTTCTTTAAAAAATAAATAAACAAAATGTTAAAAACCCCACCCTTCTGTGGACATTTTACTGTCATGTTTGGTCAAACCAGAGGTTTGATATGGAGATTGGATATTAGCTTTCAGAGGAAGCTGAAAGTCATATATTAGTAGTTTAGCCAAATGTTCTCGTATGTTCTTGTCCTCTCTTTCCTTGGACAAGGGAAGTCAGATAGGAGAGGAAATCCTAGATTTTTGTATGCTCAATACCCATGCTAAGTGCTTCCCAGAAGGATGAAATTCCTCAAAAAATACAGAGTTTGTGGACAGGCATGTAAAACTTTTTCTGTTCCATTACAGAAAGCTTTTAGTTTTGAGAAGTTTTGTTCTGAAAAAGCTGTCAAGTTTCATTAGTGCCTAGGAAAACTATTAAGCTTTTTACAAAAAAAAAAAAAAAAAAAAATTGCATAGGCTTTATTCCGTTAATGTATTTTCCCATAAGTACTGAATGATGTGCAACAGCTTTTTCCAACCAAAAGTACCTTTCTCCAGGAATGTTTCCTCAACATTTCCATGTGTAAATGCAGCTGCTGTCACATAGGATATTGTGCTGGGCTACCTGTTGTTTCATAATTCTAGCCGGATAGCCCAGAATAGCTTGAAATTCACTACTTTTCCCGCTTCTAAGTCAAAAACCCTCTTTGAGCAGTTAAGGACCCAGTGATTAGAACATTTAATGGGTATGGATACTGAAGGTTTTACCTGTGCTTGCTCTTATGTAAATTAAGCTCATGATAATTGGCTGTTCTGAGTAGACATGCAGAAATTCCTTTCCTTACTGGTCAGGAATTATAATGTCTTGACATTAATTGTATTTTTGTTAGGAAATAATTTCATAAGTCTCCTATAAAATCATGGAAAAAATAAATAGCTCCAGTTAATGTGGTGATGCCTACATAATAAGCTCAGTAGACTCTGGAGGACAGAGAAGCAGCAGCATCTTGCTGCCAGTGCTGTGCCTTGTCACCTTCACCTCATGTTAAATAATGTGCCTACTCCTTCCCCTTGTATTGGGTTATGGACAGTATTTAAAATTAAATGTCCAAGTTAAATGTCCTGGCTAAAGAGTAAGGTTGTAGTGAATAACTACTACTCTTTATTTTGATGTACCTACTTTCAAGTCAAGTTTTGTTTTGTCTCCCTGGTGCTGAAATATGTTCTTCATTCACCAGACTTGACCCAAAGCATGTATCCAACAAACTGTGTAAGGCTGATGGCTTCAGATCAGACATCTGTGCTCAACTAGAACTCCTGCAAGTGGAGACCTACATGCTGAGTAGCAAGTAGGACTGCAGAGTAGCTAGGAACAGTAGAAAAACAAAGGTTTTGATGGACTGTAAGTACTACCAGGCTTTGGCTTCTGCAGGCATTGCTCAGGCTAATAAATAGCATTTCAATTAAATGATCAAGTTTTTCTGAGCAAGGACATCGTCAAACAGTAGGTTGCATGACAATCATTAACATTTGACACTTGTATTTATATGAAATCAAATTTTCCTGTTTCCTTGACTGGAGATTACCTTTTGACACAGTGGGTGCAACTAATGCATTTATTTCTGACAGTCACACTTAATCGTGTTCCGTGTCTTAGGATCTCATTTTTCGGTGTTTGGTGGCCTCTGTTCCAATAGCTATTCAGAAAAAGAAGGGATACTGTCTTTCAGGAGCTTGCATAAGCAGTCATCTCAGCCTGGCCAAGCTCCTGAGAACTTCCCCTTCCACCTCCTAGTCTTGCCTGTAGCTGCATTCTGTGAATTTGGGGCCCATGATGAACTTAATGCTTCACCTTTTTGTTTCATCAAAGGCAAGGCAGTTTGGTGTTCGTTTTGCACCATAAATGCATTAGCTGTTCTTTTGCCTTTGATCTGTTGGAGTTTAGGAATATACACATTGTATATACATTCTCTTAATTCCCTCTGTTTCCCGTGACTTGGGGTAGAAATGGAATCCAAAGCAGCAGTGGATCAACCTTGAATGCTGTTGCAAAAAGCCTGTTATAAATGCTCAAATGTAACTAAGTCAACTTCTCTGAAATAACTTTTTTTTTAAAGCAAATTGACAGTGTACCAAGGAAGTAGTTAGAAGGTTTTCTACTCCTCTGTCTTTGACACTGAAGAATTTGTGCTGTTCTCCTCAATGCTTGGGATAGACTGATTTTAAAATGTCATCTGCTTTTTAATTTTACTTGATATGCAAACTGATTCAGCAATACCCTTTAGACTGAATGGAACCTTGCCCAATGGAATTGTTTTCTTTATGATATAGATACACATTTTCATCTTTCTACTGACATTGCTAATCTGAAAAACTTCAAGAAAATGAATGCTCAGTGTTGAGCACTCAAATCTGTTAAGTTCTTCACATTTTCACTGGAATAGCTATCACTCAAACTGTGTGTAGGTGTTGTAGAACCCGTTAGTTGAACAAAGACCTAAAATACTTGCCCTGTCTATGTGGAGCAGGGTCAGTATGGACCCTATGACTCTGTGGCTAGTGCATCTGCAGGCTGAGCTATTGGATGCAATCCATGAAGAGGATGTCAGGCACCTTCCTTACAGAAGATATCCTGGACAATTTTTTCTATTAAAAGGTTTTCCTAAGGTTTCTAACATATAATGTTGTGTAGACGCATGAAGAAACAGTTGTTGTGTAATAGAAAATAGGGTTCATTGGATACTGCAAGAGGTGCTTGCCTTGGGCTTTAGAATCTGCATCTTTTGAAGAAAGCTGAAGTGACACTTAGTCTTTTTGAAGAGCAGAAATGTTTAGTTTCAAAACTAATAGGGAGATTAGAAAGCACTTTATGCTCTTTCTTCTTCCTCACCATGCCCCCAGTCTTGCATTGGATAATCATATTTTCATAGAAGATCTCGCTACTGTTCTTTGCAAATTTTTCCTCTTTTTTTCTTTCTTTTCCTTGTAAAATCTGTCCCCAAAAACTAGGCAAAGAGCCCAACTGGACTGCCACTTTTCATACTGGGTCAGGTTTCTCTCCTTTTCAACTCCCATCAGCCATGTTTTCACTTTGTACTTTGATCTTAAATATTACCAGGCAGAGGTGGCCTGTGCTGAGACTCTGCCATAATATAGGCAGTTAAACTTGAGGTCGTTCTGGGTCTGCAATCTGTTGACTGCCAGTTAACAGAGAGCAAGAAGCAGTCTGTTAAGCCCTCATAGAGGGGACCTATACGCCTGTAAATAGAAATGTTACTGTGCCCCTCGACATGTCTGCTTGCACTGGGTTTGGCCATCGGTGAGCTCTGGCTTTGTGTGAAGGACTGGCTTGTTTTCCAACCTCAGCTGAATCTGTAGTGTAGATGCCACTGTGAGAGCATCCCTCTATCTGCACATTGTGATCAGAGCCTACGGGGTTTTTGTGTTTCATCATGTGTGATTGTTCTGGTTACACCCCAAGGAGAGGGGAATGCTTTTGGTCTTCCTTGCAGTTTTTACCATGCCTGAGGTATCAGTATTTTGGAGGAAAGGGAGGAATAAATCAAGCATAAATACTTGAAAATATCCAATTGGTTGAGGTTACTAATAGCTTAGGATCATTCAGGGGTCTAATTCACACACTTTATTGAAGGATTTATAACTTTGTTTCTAATTCACTTTCAACTAGAAATGGCACAGATTTTTTTTCCTTGTACTTGGCTCTCTACCAGAATGTAATAGGCAAGCTAACAATATTCTTCTTTTCCCCTCCTTGGGTGCTGCTGTTTCCTATTAAATTGCAATTAATACTTCCATTTTTGTGATTATGGTTGAATTTTAAGTACCCATTTTAAAGAAGAGTTTGCTACAAATGCCAGTGTAGGTGAAGCCATAAGCATTTGACTGCTCTTACAATTGTTTTCCTTTTGTGTATCTCCACCATCTGTGCTATTAGCACTTGATTTCCTTTTACATGGTGCAGCTGAGGTTTCCAGTATCTGTCTTGAATGTGTTCCTATGCAGGGAAGGTGAAGTGTGGCACTGGGAGATAACAGTGAAAATTTCAGTATAATTCAGTTTAGTAAGAGATGAACTGGGCAGATTGGTCCCATGTAAGAGCTCTTCAGTTTGGAGCACATAAACTTATGCTAAAAGTTAAGCATACCCAGAAGTCCTTTCCTCTGTGTTAAGCAAAAGCTCAGTGCTTTGCTGAATCAGACCCTGCATTTACTGTGGGGCAGATGGACTCATAAACATGTTTTTAAAGTTCTGAGGTAAGAGGGAGTACTTTGATGTGGGAATGCCACCTAAATGATGAAAATTTGAGATAAAATCAATTTTACATAGGGATATATTGATACTAACAAACTCACCGAGAGGGAAAACTGACCCAAACAAAAGTGTCATCCATTTTCAGATGGTTCTCAAAAGACTATTTACATCTCTTGGGTTGTGCAAGGGCAAGTAAAGGGCTTGTCCAAGGCTTTAACTGTGCCTGGTGTCAGTTTTAAGGCTATGATTCATAGGATTAATAGCAAGTGCTACAGCGAACTCTGCCTTCTTCTGGAAGCAACAGTGTAAGTAGTTATAATAGGAAATAAATGCTTTCTTTCAGGTTGCTGTCTCCAGCGTACCAAATCCCTGCTCTCTCTTTCCAAAAATACTGTCATAACAAGCTTTAGTCCCAGCTGCTTTCATCAGAAAGTTGCCCAAACCAATGGAGTTGGAAGAGAGGGGAAGACAACTTACAGACACTGCAGCCTGCACCTTCACATGAAGTATTAAGTATGGTAAAAGCAACTAACAAAGGGAAGAGAAGGCAGCTCATGATGAAAACACAAGTGCATCTGAAGGAAGGGCAGTAATCCTACAAAATACTTGATGAGAGTATGGGCAGAACAACTCCTTCCACAGGTAAGTCAGCACCTTACAGCTGGTACTGGTCAACCAGATGAGTGATATAAACTTATAAACTTTATGTAGAGCCAAGCCTCTTAATCTTCATGCAAAGGTTGTGCAATGCAATGATGTTTCAGTATAGACTGTTGAAGCCACAGATTGTTGTGACCCAGATTGACAAAACACAGGGAAATCTGAGGCAACATGTTACTAGGAGAGGAATTGTCTCTCTCAAACTTTTCCGTTTTCTTAGACGTTGAAGGAAGGCTTGATGCAGGATGATAATTTACCAGATGGTCAGTGTCAGAAAGAAGCTTCCTCAGTATAGGCAATATTGACACTTTCTGAAGAAAATCTGGCAGTTCTCCCTCCTGAGGAGAGATGTTGAGAATTTCCAATAATACTGACCCACTTTTCTTTGGTAACTCCAGCACTAAGGGAGTCTAGAGATAGTACAGCATTGTATCCCCTTTTCCTCCCGAGGTGTTGCTCCGTTTCTGTGGATACCTCCTGTTCAGTGTGAATTAGAAGAATTTTTAGGTACCACTGAAAATACTGAACAGGATCTTCAGAATATGTGGTAGAGAAAGATTTAGTAGTTCATTTTCCTAAAGCCCAAAATGGTGGATGTAGTTTTTGTAAGTGATACAACCTAGATACAGGAAATAGCTTTCTGCAAAGGCTCCAGGCACATGTGTTGTAGTTAGTCAGTTCCTGGTCTTGACTTCAGTCACTCATCAAGTGTTAGAAATCACCTACAGACAGAGATGTTTTGTGGGTAAGTGTTACTTGTCTTGGAAACCATTGGAGCTTTGAGGTTTATGGTCCAGTATTACAGATCTGATTTTCTGGATTATTAAACTGCTGTTACAATTGGCAGATTCTCATACTAACAGAGTTGAAACTATGTCCTCAAGAGTGTTGTTATAATCTAATCTGCATACACTTCTCTCTTTATATGATTAATACTGGTGTAGATGCTAGGGGTTGATAATGCTAAATGGTAGGAGGTAACTGTTTTCTACCCTGAGTGAGTACAATCTGCTTCCTTCTAGGTTAATGCAAATTGTCTTTCTGCTTAGTCACTTGGAAAAAGCCATACTGTACTGTTTTTTCTGCAGAAGGGTTAGAGGACAGAATGAGTTTTAGCTAAGCATGTATTTAGTGTTTAGTTATTTATCTTAATTATCGTGCACTCCATTTTGTAGTTTTGAGTTACTTGTGCGTCTTGTTAAACCTCTCCTCTATTTGTTCTCAAGACCATGAGTCTGGGACAAGCACAGACCTTGAAGTGCAACCTCAGTTCAGCTGCATATCCAGAAAATTATTTTTCATGCTTGTAGAGAATTAGACTCCAGAAGACTTCTTTTCCTCTGGGAGTAGTTTGAGAACACAGGAAGAACTGAAACTGTGATCAGACCTTAAATCCTAATGAGATCTAGTGGACAGTTAAGAGGAAAACAAATTCTTGGGGGGCCTTTTCAACTGAAAGACAAGTTTTGAACTTCAGAAATGTGGAACCCTTAACATCATTGCAGGTAATAAGGCCATCACTGAAGAGCTGCAAGAAGAAACTACAAGATGTGTAACTGGCAGAGATTTTCCAGGTGATTGGGGTGGAACAAGCAGGTTTGGGATTAGCCAGTAAAACTGCCTGTGGAAGTAAACAGGTGACCAGTGAAAGAAAGAAGCAAGACAAAGCTGCTTTCTATCCCTTTAGAAGGCTTCTAGATGTGAGGAGGATACATGCAAGCACTAATCCTGGTAACAGTTGAATCAAATCTTGGCAAAGTGTTTTATTCCTATCACTGGGCTGTCTCATACGAGTTCCAGTGTCTGGTCTTTAAAAGTCCTTGGAACTTGCTGGAGGAAAATTTCAATTGGAGCTGAACACAGCATGTTATATTTTGAGGCTTTGATTATTCTGGGTCTGACAGGCTCATGGAGATTTCATTGCCTCTGGGCAACATCTGCAGCAAAGCCTTGTAACAAAAGGATTGAGTGGCCTCACAGGGCTCCCTGATAGCCTGTATTGCATTAGAAGGAAGACGTGGTTACTAGTCAGGGTAATTAATTAGCATTTCCATAAGCAGTCACAAGTCCTGTTAACCTTGTGAATGCAGGAGGCAGGAATAAAGCACAGATGTGAAGGCTCTGAAGATAAACTTTGCATGCGTGTTCCCTTGATTTTGTTGATGAGTTCCACTAAATTCTTTCAAGATCAACCTTAATTTAGCATGGCTAAAGATGCAAATGCACCCAACATCTGTTAGTGTCTCCATGGCAGCTCTTTGGCCACCAGTGCTATAGCTAGGTCTCAAAATAAACCAATACAAAAAACCCTGCCACACTGAAGGGGTAAGCTGTTGGTCAGAAGTAAGATGTGGAACTGGCTGAGGAAAGGTATGGAAGTCCCTGGACTTTGCCTGCTTCAAATCAAATTTTAGTTATGGTAATGAAAGACTGCATCCTTCCTGCAGACCAGTTCTTGTCTCAGATTTCCTCCCATGTCAAGTTTGTCCTTACCTGGCTGACAATAGCCATTGTGTTTTAGGGAGTCGCATTTTCTGGTGAAGTTTTATTTCTGTTCAGCCCCCACCTGCTCCTCACTTGTTTTTCCTTCTCCATTGGTTTTCTCATTCTTTTATCTTGTCATGTGTGGGACCTGTTTCCCCTTGGAGCACCACTGGTTTTCCTCCTGATGTAAGACCAGTCCCCTGCAGAAATATGCTGCCCAGCTTAAGTGAGTGTAGCTCCAAGTACCTCTCAAGAAGCTTGTGTTTGTGTTCCCCTTGTTAGTTTATGCAAAGTGCCAGGTGTGTGCTGTATCCAGAGTAGCACCTCCTAGCATTTACTGAATTGCGAGGTGTAACAAGCCACTGCTACAGGAATGATTGCAGGAAAGGCTCAGTGACTAGTGTCCTGGGCTTAGAGACTGACTGCTTGTCTTGTTAAATCCCTTTGCTCAGAGGGCACAGCTATAGCTTCATCACAGAGATAAGAGGGAAATTCTTTTAACAGCTTCATTCAGAATAATTCTGCTGGTGATTCTGAAGAAGAAAGTAGGAAATAAGTGCCAGAAGGGGCTGTTCTTTACAGTGAATTTTGAGTTAGCAATATCTAAAAGAGGGGCAGGGTAGGATGTGGAAAGGAAAACTAAACCTCCTTTTCTTGTGTTCCTGAATCATTTGGCCAGGCTGTTCCCATGGCTGAGTTGTTTTATCCCACACCACACGCACACGCTCCCACCCCCACACCTAAAAGTGGGAGCCCTGGCTTGGTCCAAGCCCAGAACTCTTGTGTCTTTCTGTTGCCTCTGGCGCCACAGAAGTAATTGGTGGATGATATTAGGAGTCTTGTAACTCTCAAGGCTGTATATCTTTCCTCTTTTATAAGCTGGCAACAGATGAATTTTAGAACCTTTTAAAAAATTATTGAGAATTTTGGAGCCAGTGGGGCTCCTACTTGAGCCTTTCAGTGATGGTGTAAAATAAATGTCATGTTAGTGCAGAGTGTAGAGGAAAGTGGGAATTGGACCAATAATGCCTGAGGGGTAAGGAAAGCTCTCTTGCTCTGCTCAGGGTTTGGGTTGGGGGATTTTCTGATGGCACGTCTCCCTGCTGCAGCAGTCATCTCTGCTTGTTGGAATAGGCTGTTTCTAGTTTAGTCCTGTGCTCGACAGAACTAAGTCTGTTTTGTGGGGTTTTTTCCACATCACATTTGGTCTGATCAGTGAGACACATCTCTGCAGCTTTGCCTTCCGCAGGGTTCTGTTTTTTTTAATCTCTTGAGCAATTTGGAAATGCACAGTGTTCCATGTACACAAGCACAAGCTTGGAAATTCAGAAATACCACTGCAGGGTGAACTGTCTCTTTTGTCACTTTTCAAGAATTACATTTTAGGCCTAAACTAACCTAAGGTGTGGTCCAACACATCTAGGTCATGTTAACTGTGGAACGACTTTCATTCAGAGGTGAATGACAAATCACTCCTTGACATGAACCATTTAAAAATAGATCACAATGAGCTTCAACTTTTGCAGCCTACAGTGGTGCCACAACCAGTCCTGTTACTCTGCCTTTAACAGCAAACCCAACCACACTTAACCTGTGCTTCTTTGTAGCAGCAGCAGACACTGTGTGCTTATAACAGTAAGGGCCATGCAGGCTCTGATTGCTCTGTTGAACTCTGGCATCTGTCAGTAGTTCAAAACACCTTGCTCTGTTGGTGAGCTGTGCTTACTACAGCGTAGTCATCTCCTACGTAGAGCAGATGTACTGTGTGCACTTACTCATCTCCTATGTAGAGGTTGGGCCAGACTTCATTGACATGAGTGTACTTTGGGCATCCCTTCCAGAGGAGTCGCTCCAGTTCAAATGCCCCTGGGGTACAGTAGTCCTCTTCAGGATCTACTTTGATTGCTGTGTATGCATTTCTCTTCGCAGCATTCCAACTTCCTGATGACATTTTATCCATGGAGTAGTGCTCTTGGGATGTGCAAGAAACTGGAATGCAACCAAAGCAGATCATTAACCTGAGGAAGCACAAAACAAGTGACTTATGCTCCAGCTGTGGGACACTGGGAACAGCACTGCCCAGGTGTGACTGGGCTGCACGTTGTATGAGATGGATGACCCTGCTCTGTGGCAATCACAGACTGGCACCCGGAGTTCTGATCCCCCCCCAAACTAAGCAAGGAATATGTTGTTGGAGGAGCTCACCAGCAATTGGAACAAAAGCCAAAGGTTTGTGACTACTGAAGTTCAGTCTCCACTGGGAATTTGTTTCCTGGAAAATCCACTGGTAAGAATTTGATAGGCCTAACAGCTAGGGTCTAGAGCACCTGGGGAACTGAGTGGAGGGAATTTGATTATTTTTTTTTTAGTCATTAAGAATAAGAATTAAGAATATTCTAAAGCCTTATCCTTTATGTGACTTTCAGCAATGCAGGGAGATGAAATGTGTATTCATGTGAATGTTGGTTATACCTGTTCTATTCTCTTCTACTCTTCTGTTTCCTATATTGCCAGCTGAAAACTTTCCTGTCATCTCTGTCTATGTGTGGGCTCTGTCTTGTTTTTCCTACTGGGACTCCCTGATGTCTCAGGGGAGCAGTTGCCCATGTCTCTTATTCTCTTGAAGGGACAGGTTGAACCTTGGGGTTCTGTAGGAGACTCCTAATAAGAAGATGTGAAGTTGGGCTTGATCTTACGAAGTGAGGAAGTACAGCCTGCCAAAAATCCACCTACCTTGCAGGCAACAAATCCTATAGTGGCTCCCAAAATTGTTTTGTGTTGGCTGTTTGTGTCCTTTTAATTCCAAAAATCTGGTTAATGCCTTCATGCAGCTATTGTAGAGTTCTCCTGAAAACAGGATGACCATATTTCACTGACATCCCATGTACCCATGGGGTTTTTTAGTTCAGTTTGGGCTCTTTTGTGCTTGTCATGTTCTGTTTCTCTGCAAAACTTGAAAAAGCCAAATGATTCCTGTTTTCCTACTCCAAAGCTGTGTAAGATTGTGGAGTCAGTTTTTGTTTGGCAAAGTGTACACCTTTGTTCAAAAATTGGCTTGCTTTCACTGGCAAGGGGATCTGTGGTTTAGACAAGCTTCCTAAAACATGATGATGATGTTTAGCTAAGTGGTCCTCTGTTGAGATTTGTAAAGGGCTCTGAGAATTCCAGCTTCTAGCAAACTTACCTTGGGCTTAGTCTTGTGTGCCTGTGGTGTAGCATCAAATCCCATCTCTCTGCCCCAGCAGCCATGCCCCAGGACAGCCTTTTCCCTTACCATTCCAGAATTATGCTAATTCTACATGCAGACTTATTATTTTCTGTAGATAATGTTAGACTACCAGAGATACAAATCTAATACAGTCTGACTTTGGGAGTGATTAGGCTGTTATCTAGAACTTGATAAGAACTGCTATTTGTCTGCTGAGGAATTATCTTAACTGAGAGGCTGTTGCTTTGATGCTGAAGGACTGACTACTTTTTTTCATGGCTCCATGAAATGGGACAGGAGGAAAGGAAGGGAAGAAGAGAAAGCAGTGTAATCAGTAGTCACAGTTGGTTGCCACAGTGTATTGATTTGTTACACCTTGGAACAGGGCGATTACATCTGCAGATGATCGTTTGTGGTACTGTAACACCAGCGCAGTTTGAAGCTTGGGTAGCACTCTGAAAGTTAGACCACTGCTGAGAAATACTTGTTTCTGTCTGTCCTGGGAAGCCATATGCTCCCTGAACTTTCAAGTACGCTGTGTTCTTTTATGCCTTGCCAATGTTATCTGCTGCGGGGATTTTTAAATTGAGTTAGAGCACAGGAAAACATCAGTTGAAATTCCTCTAATAAAACATGTATTTCAGATTTGACTCTAGACTAAGTAAGAAGTAACAGAGTTTAAATAACAGGAGGGGAAAGGGACTGGTTTGCTATTTGAACTCTGGCATTTGTTGCCATGAAACATTTGGTTGTGGCAGAAGGACAGAAGGGCTTGTGTTTTTCCGGGAATCAAAGATGTCTAACTTCATATCTTAGTGGTTATTCTATGTACACCAAACAGAGCTGAGAGAAGACTATTCCCTAGGCCAGCCCTCTTAGAAAAAAAAACTGAAAAGTAGACTGGATTTTTTTGGGGTGGGTATTCTTAATGCTGTTGTGGGTATAAGGGACGACTGTTCAGCGTGAGCCCAGGCAGAGAAGGCTCAGATTTCTGTTGCAGACCTTTGGGGCAGGGAGACCATCCCTTGCAGAATGTTTACCCATTGCAGTCAGATGGGAGACAGATTGCAGGGTTACCTCTGCACAGGCTTGTCGGAGCAAACTCCCACCCCCTGTGGTGCTTCATTTGGGCTAAAATACTTTGCATCAAGATGAGTTAGTGCAGACTGAATGATGTACCAGTGCAGCTTCCCTGTACCAGCTTGGTACCAGGAGTTCCCTTCCAGTGAGGCAGGGCAATCTGTGGCTCATCCCACTCTTTCCCTGTGCTCAAGCCACAGCTTCTCTCCTGCCCTGCTGGGCTATGCCAGGGCCAGGCCGTGTGAGCTGCTGAGACCTTCCTGTTCCCACCCTGTGGTGCTGGTCAGGAGCCACAGGCTGGGTCCACCTCAGTGGGGCCCTGCAGATGCTCAAGCCTGTGAGATTTCACCTGCTGAGCCCGACATCCTGCGGGTTCTGCCGCTCAATCCAGCGTGTGCAGGGAACGCTGAGCTGCCAGCGCTGTCATGGGCTTAAGTGTATTATCAGAACAAGGATGATAAAAATTCAGTCATCTGCATTTTTATACCCTAATTTTTCTCTTCATAAATAAGACCAAAGTGCATGTTATCTAATAAATTTTATTTGTTAATCACTTGGATGGCTGAAATATTTCTCCCCCTTGGGTTATATGTATATAAATGAAAATATTGTTAGTGATTTCACAAAATGGTAATTCAGAATAATGGAGAGTTAATCCTCTTTTCATTAGTGAGCCACTTCAGGACATACACTGTGGCAAATTACACTGCATTTTAAGTTGTTCTCAAGTGCTGTGCACTAGAAAAAAAAAACATTAAACTAGTTTTGCATTGATAGAAGTAATTGTGTGGCTAATTTGGATAAGCAGCATGCATTAGGCACAGCAAAGGAATCTCTTCTTTATGTTCACTATCCACTCTACAGCTGCCAGATGGAATTTCTTATACAGCTCTTTAGCTTTTTTTATTTTATTTTTAACAAAATAAGGAGGGAGGAAAGAAAGTGCAAGGGGGGGGGGGGGGGGAAGGAAAATCTGCCAGTCTATCTGCTGTTTAATTCAGAGCATGAACACAGTCTAGTGTCTGAAGCAGTAATATGGCAGTGAAAGATTTCCCTTCTGCACCATGTTTGGAGTCTCTTAAACTATTCAAATTAACCCAAAATTTCAGGTAAAGCCCTGTGAAGTCACAGAACGTAGTCCCCACTTTCAAATTTGTTCAACAGGAGAGATGTGCAACCCCACCACAAAATTTGTAGGGGGTTACTTAATGTTTTTAGGAATGAGAGTCATGAGCTCTACAGTTTGGTAATTCCACAGATGGGGGAGAAAAACTGAGCTTCATGTCTAGAGGTGAATGTAAGAGCTTCAGTGATGGTGTGTACATTTCTAATGCTGGTTTTCCACATGTAGTGGAAGTTTCTGAGTACTTTGAGACTGAAAGCTATAAGTCATTAGCTACCTAACAAAATACTGTGTTTCTTAATATCTTTGGCTCAACGTGCTATGCAAGCCCTAGTGCTGTGTATAAAGATGCCAAACAATTCGGCAAGATTTATGGCTGGGAGTTAAGATCCAAGTCAGCTGTAGAGACTTAAAAAGAAAAGAAAAAAAGCAGACATGCACAGACAAGGATTGCATTTGCCCTTATCCTCTGCAAGGGCCTAAATACCGTCTCCCCTTCTTTTCTGCACCCCTCCCTGACACGGGGTTTCTCCATCACTGCTGTTGTCCCAAGCATATGTACTCTGGCCGCCAACTTGTGGCTCTATTTGTGTGCCTGAAGCTACTGATCTTCAATGAGGTCAGAGCCCAGTGGCATTGGTAAAAAATATGCAATGATACAGGCTAAACAAGTAAAAAGTTGGAGGAAAAATGGAGACAGAGGATAGTTTTCCTCGCTCTTCCCTTCAGATGTATGAGCTGTTCTATCTTGCCTGGCATAGGGGCATAGAGCTTCCTTGACTTAATGCCCACTTCAGTCCATATTTATATAGCAGAATAGTTGAAATTCTTTGCCACCCATGTTTCCTGTTACTGGAAGTTCTCCCAGCCCATATGACATCAATCACCTGTGCTAGTGGGGCTTTCGATGCTGGCTTTATTAAATTTAATTTGGTGTGCACAAGTGTACCAGGCTTGGGTTCGTAGTCACAGTTATCTAAAAGCTACTTCTCCTTGAAAATACCAGCAATGAAAAATTTATCTGGTTTAGCTGGGAAGTGAAGGTTTTCAGCATTTAGCAAACACCTAAATATATAACCTGTTTGTAAATGTGGAGGTAGATTTGAATCTAATTCCTGTTTTGATGCTCTCAGATTTTGCTTCCTACCTCTTTCCTCATGTCAGCTCTGAGAAAGGAGTGGAGCTGTGGTATCTCTGGGAGTTTTTTTCCAAGATGCCAAGGGAGGGAAAGAAAATAATGAAAGCAGACTATCTGTCAGCTCTGAGCCTTTCATGAGGGGTCTACAGAAGTAATGACATATCCATTAGACTTTACACCTGCATGAGTGCAGGGGGAGATAAACATGGTGCCCTTGAAATTAATCGGAGGTTTGACCCTCAAGTCCAGGGCCCAAAATAGTTCATCTACTGCCATGAATGCTAAATTTGACAGAAGAACAAAAAAGTGGGAAAAACAACTCCGTAATTTTGATTGAGAAATTATTTTTGAGCTTGAAGAGCTTGTTACTAAGAATTGATTCCTATTTTTTCTGATGTTGCATGGAGAGCTGACTTGTTTGAATGTTTTTATTTATCAGGTAGAATTCAACACCACTGAAATTGAAGGACGTCTATTTTCCAGCTACTCAAAACTGAGACCTTCTTGCCTTCCAGACAATGGCAAAAATAATGTTTTTATTTTTATTTACTTCCTCCTTTCAGTTTAACCTTAGATAAGACCTTCATGGAGATACAGTGTCTGTAACAAGTGTGTACAAGAGGGAAATACCTGAGAGAAGATAAGGATGGAGAATACCAGTTCTTCTATACTTTCAAAAAAATATGAAAAAGGCTTGAATCTAGTTTGTAATCCATCTCCAGGTAAGCACTTGCACAGTGCTGAAGGCAGACAGAAATCAGATCTAATGACTGAGGGTCTTCAGAAATAGTGAAGGAGGATCTTCACTGAGCAAGTTCTTGAATTTTTAAGAAATGTTCTGTTCTTCAATTTCCAGCCCACCTGCCAGATACATACCTCCCTTCAGGGTGAAAAAGTGCCTACCCTTTTGAGTATGACTAAGCAGAGGACTGTTTTATAAACTGGAAAGTTCTTGCAGAAGCCAATGCACATGCTGTCTGGAGTGCAGTGTTTGCAGTTGGGAGGAGGGTAAACAGTGCTTTGGTTTCTAAGCTTTTTGTGACTCAAAGTACATCAGTTGAACTGAGAGCTGGTCAGCTGCAGTAACATAGGCTTGCTTTGTCAGATGATTTAACTAAATGAATTTAAAATGGTGCTCCCTTATATGCCATGCCTGTGATGTTTACCTTAGGATTCCAGAGGCTGGCAGCAGCCATGGAGAGAGCTGTGTGCTTTCCTGTGTAACCTTACACTTGCTGCACCCCAGGGTACTGCAAAGGTTCCTTGGGTGCGTTTTTGACTTGGTTTTGGTTATTTCCCCCCCCCCCCCCTCCTTATACGAGGATGAAAATATTAATCTTTTCCAAATACTTCTTGGGACAGAGGAGAAGTCCTTCAAAACAATTTTTCTCTAAAAGAATTAAGCAAATTCCAAAACTGGAATTCCCCAGGTACCTGCAGTATACTTAGCCAAAGAATAACACAGTCCTGTGTTCCCTCTTCCTGTTTTAGTCTTCACCAAAATTCATTTACTTCAGTTCCTTTGTTTTACCCCTGCATTCTTGTGCTTAAAGCATTCAAGGACTGTAAAATAGTTCATCCAATGCATGTCTTTAAACAGCTTAAAACCAGAAGAATCATAGCCTCTGTGCAATTATTTCCCAGACCCTCCTGCTGTGAATATTCAAAACTAACCAGTTATTTCAATGAATTTCTAAGCCACTGATGACTTAAAAAACTTATTTTTGCCCTCATTCTTTATTGTTGACTGGACTGGTTAATTTAAAACAGATTACGCTGAGATTTCATTAAATATTGTGAGAGTGCCCAAAGAAACTTAAGACACACCATCATTTGAGAGAATTGCAATTCAATTGGAAAAGTTAGACTTGACTGGAGGATGGAGTAATTATTGAAGAATAGGCATAATATTCTGGGACAGATGTTACAAATCTTAAATGCATTTTTATCCCTAACTTTTAAATTGTAATTATCTCTAAAATAAATACCCTTTTGACATCTAATTATCTAATTTTTAAAGTGATTCCTGTAACATGACAAATTTGGTTTTCTAAAATTATAAATTTTACCTTCAGAACCTTTTTTAATACTGTAATAGCTCTAAACTTTTTTTCTCTGCAACAAGTTTATGAAATTAATAGTTACCTTGCAAAGCTCTCAATCCTCTCCCTGGTTTACTAAACTAGGTTATAAAAGGAAGAAAAGGAGCACAAGAAGTACAGCAGAAAATGTATATTGCTTAGTCTTACCTGTAAGCTTAGGTGGGTGCTGTAGGTAAGCAGGTCCTGTGAAGTGCAGCAGAACGACAAAAGAAACCTTACTAACTTTGCAACTAGAGTCTATTTTTAGAGGAGGATTTGCTGACTCTGACCTTGAGTGCTACCCCCTCCAAATGACGATCTTTATATCTGCTGGTAAAACTATTCCCTGATGTGACCTGAAACATTAGACCTGGCAATTTAGTTACCTAGTCTTGGTATGACTAAGATAATATGATGCCTACATGTTGACTGTAATAAAACAAAACTCATCTTTTATCTTGTCCCCTTGTCAAGCCTGATGCTATGTTTACTGCTGCACGTGGGTGAGGAGCATTGCACTGCTGTTTCCTGTCATGCTGTGCACAAGTGGTTTGGCACTGGCACAAAAATGGGCAACGGGGAAGGTGGCATCCTGACAAGGCCCTTGGTGCACTACCAGAAAGCCATCTTCCCCTACCTACTGTCTTGGTTTTCTTCAGTGCCAACACTCCTGCTATCCATCTGACTTGTGAAATGCCTTTCTCTGCTGAGAAAGCAATGTGGTGCTCAGCCCTGCTCAGTTCTGGTGACAAGAGCATAGCTTGCCAAAAAGAGGTGGAGGTACACTCTCCAACCTTTGAAAATTTCTCTACTTCCCTAAAGAGGTTCCATGAAAAGCTCCATGCCTTCCTATTGAAGAAGTTCCATGAAAAGCTCCATGCCTTCCTATTGAAGAAAGCCTAAAACTTTATCTGGTAAGTCACAGCCAGATTCAGCAAAGATCAAATCTGGGTTCCTTGGTGTCAGAGTCACACCTCTTCCACTCCAGCACTTTGTTCATTGAAGGAGTGGTGACTTTCCTGGCCTACAGGGCTGTTTGCTGGAGGGATTGGTGATCACATGCGAGCAGCTGGTACACAATATCCTCTGCCTGGGCATTTGTTCTGCAGCAAACCCTGCCTCAGAGCTGCCAACTCAGTCAACAACATTAGGAGTAATGAGATTTTGGTGCTGTTGGAGCTAGGTTTGCAATGACATAAGATCCAACTGTCTCATGGGTATTGATGTTTCTCAAGGGAAATTCTTCAGATCCATTGCCTTGTGCCTGGGAATGGGGAAAGGAGGCAAAGAGACCAGTCAGGGCAAGCACGTGATACTGAGAAGTAGCCCATTGGTCTCTGGACCTGCTTTCCTTCTGTTTACATGACCATCCTGGAGGTGATCTCTCTGAGCAGACCTGCCTGAACTGCTTGCCAATCTTTCTGGCTCACAGTGCTCTCTATTCTCACCACAGTACCTGCAAAAAGCAGCCAACGGTTGATGAAAACCTACTGAGGAACTTTTTTCATTTCTTGCAAGAACAGAAACAGTCTTCTGTGCCTCACCAAAGTTTCAGGTTGCCCAAGTGTTTTTTACCAAAGCATCCAAGTCACACAGTAGGTGCCATTAATTTTCAGTGGGACACAAATTCCTGACCGTATCAGTTATTTTTAACATTGCTTTGAATTCTTTCAATCACCTTTGTCATCCCCTGTCTGTTTAAAACATAAAAGTTCATCCCAGAAGGACCAGGGCCAGACTTGGTCGTGGTCTGTGGCTAACACTGCAGTACAGATGTGAAGTAATAACAAACAGTTTCAGTTCAAGTTCTGGGCATTAGACCTGCTGCTGTTTCATGCAAACAGCATCACTCTAGCCAAGTTTCTGTATTACAGAGCAGCCAAGCTCCTCCCTGCCAATTATTCAGATAGTTGCTCTTAAAATGAGAAAGAGCTTAGATGTTAGAAACCTGCTGTGCCTTCTAAGTTACCTTGTAAGGTTGTTGTGCAAATTAATTCTTTACTGATAACAGAGAAACTTTGTGGAGAAGGAGATACAGACCCAATATAACAGAAACTAGCACTGGTTGCTTTTTTATCCCTGCAGGTGACCCAGTATGGGGGAATATGAGTAAGGTGATACAGCAGACCAGCAGTGCTGGTGAGAGGAGGCTGTTCTGGGAGGTGTGTGGTGGAAGGTTCTTGTGCCCCAAGGATGGGCAGTGGTCTGTTGCTTGTCTCTGACCAAGGTTGTCTTTCTGATATCAGATCAAAGGCATGACAATGTTTTGTGGTATTGTTTTTTTCAGGCAAGCATCTGAAAAAGAAGTATTTTTCTGTCTGACTGGCTGTCAAAACAATATGAGCCCTTGTGCCCCTCTTTCCATAGGGTCCTGAGAACAAGTAAGGAAGATTCCTCACTTTCTGGATAAGTCACAGAATGCATAAGATTGGAAGAAACCACAGTGGGTCATCTGGTCCAACTTCCCTGCTCAAGCAAGGTCATCCTAGAGCACAGGATTGCGTCCAATGTTTGGGACCAGTTGTTTGTATTTCCATTAGTTTTGGTTTTGCTAATGAAAACATACTAGCTGCTGAGATGTTTTGAAAGTGGTCAATCACTTGGAGTGCTTGGGAGCCTGGACACACGGAAAACACAGCAGGAAGGCTCTTATTTTCGAAGAGGTGAGCACCTCCCTTCTGGAAAGTTGAATAGTTGCCTTCGACTCCTAAAAGCCAGTGTTTGCCATGTTTTTGGTAATTTCTGAAAATCTTGGCCAGGCTGATGATGGTGCTTTGAACATACAGATCACCCCCCCTCCCTGGAGCCTTGCCTGCAGTCAGCCTGCTCATGTTCCATGGGCAGGTCCCTGCTGATGGTGATGGACTCTCAAGTGCCATCACCCGCTGTCCCTGTGTGCCTGTCTGAGCACAGCCACTGCCCAGCCCTAGAACTTGACCCCAGGGCAAAATTCATTATCCCTTCATTTTTCACATGTGTTCTGAAACTGTCAAAGGGCCGTCCAGGAACAGTGCCAGACACTGCTCAGACACATGATACAATTCCTAGCCTAGAGAGCTGATGCTATAAATGGAAGAAACAAAGGCTTAGATGGGGAAAAGGATGGCACTGAAGCAGAATGAGTAAGACTGTGGCCAAAAAAGTGCCACTGACCAGCACCCTAAGTGGCACCTTCTGGTACAAGAGTACAGAGCTGTGAGAAGGATGAGAACTAAAGTCCCATCCAGAGGGAAGGGTTGGGATGGGGAGAAAGACATCCTAAAAAAAAAAAAGTTAAAAAAAAAAAATCTTAAAAGGAATGGATTTCTTCCACAAAGAAAAGGAAAGGAATTTGTACATTTCTGGCCAGACCACACTAGAGGTACAGTTGGAAAAATCTGACACACTAAGACTTGAAATTTTCACGTTAGATTAAAGTAAAAGCTTTGAGTAAAGTTTTGCTTTAGAAGACTTCCCTCCCCCCTTCCAACCTGGTGATCTGGAAGATTTCCTCTTCACTACAAAATATGCACTTATTTGGAAAAGTTGGGATTTTAACAACTTCATGGGAAGAATAAGTATGTAATTATATAAGATTGTCCTAATAGACATTTGCTGTACTGAGATGCTAACAGCATGCAAAAACCATTATGTTTCCAGTTGTTTGGCAAAAGTTAAGAAACCTTATATATATATATTTTAAAGTTAACTGTAAAGTAAATCCAGATGGTTCTGTCTCGCACAGACAAGCAGTCTTCAAACTAGACATATAGTTGTAGCCTGGCTATAACTTGTTTTGATTACTGCAGATAGAGAGAAATGCTTTCAATGACTGTGCACCCTCCTCACAAAATGCTGCATGCCCTTGATTCTTGCTGAAGTCAACTGGCATTTACACAGCACTACATAAACCTTGTTTGACAATACCTTGCGTGCATGAGTATCTAGTTTGGCGTTACTTGTGTAATTATTCTTTATACTGAAGAATTGCTTAATGGCCCTCATCAGGGGTTGGGGCTCTGCTGAGCCAGGCATTGCAGACCCATCGAACAAACATGACAGTTGCTGCCCTAGGTAACCTACTGTTTGTGCTTGAGTTTGTGCTTCTCTCTTCATCTCCTAGTTAAGAATTACCAGAAAATATTTGTTGTATGCTTATTTTTGATTGATATATTCAGAGTTTTATTTGATTCCCTAATAAGCGTTGTCTGTCGTGCTCATTACTGTGTTTCAGCTGGACGTTGGTTGTGCTTGCTGCTATCAGCAGGGGAACCAGAATTATGTTGACTTGTGAGGCCATTCTGCAAATCAAATCAAAGGGGCAGCTTTGCTTCACAGGGCAAGGATTTTGGAGTCTTGAGTGTTTTAAGCTGACACATTAAGGAGCATTTCTGAAATTTCAAAATAGGGGGAACTGAAAGGTCCACCAGAAATTATACGCTCATGGTACATTTTTTATGTTTTGCAGTTGTTTTCTTTTTTTAGTCAATAAGCAAGTGTTCTTGTAGATAACAGTTGATGTTGTTTGTCTAAGCAGTATAACAAGTAGAAATGCTGTTTTATGAGCTTCTTAGGTAGTATTGTCAAGAGGGTAAGATAGATTTGACCTGATGGGAGTCAAATTTACTGGCCAGTGCATCTCTTGCTATGTCTGTGACAGGGCTAATAGCCCAGCAGTAGTGAGGGCTGATAGCTCACAGTATGTGAGACCAGGGATGAAGCAAGCTCTTGAGGGGTTAGGAAAGAAGGACCCCAGTTCTGGACAAGGTTCCCTGGGCCTATAGGGTGAGGCTGAGGCCAGGGCTCTGAAAGGCGTTTTGTTCACTGTTCTGCTTTTTCTCTCACTGTCAGGAGAAAAATTGTTCTGGGAGATTTGTGTTGAAATTGAGTATAGATCCCAAGGCATAGTAATGTGGAAAATAAGGGTTGAGGGCTTTCTTGTAACCTCCCCCTACTGAAGAATGCTGGGAACAGGAAAAGCCTGGGGCCCCAAACTGCTGACTCCCCTGTCGCTCAGTCAGTGCTAAGAGGAAGCCCTGTGAGAAGAGCACCTACCAGAGAAATCCTACACAGAGAGAGTAACCAGTGAGTGCATCATTCTGTGCTGTGCAGGACATCCTGATGTGCTCCCCAGATCCAAAAATGGGGTGTCTCCAATTGGTTGTAGTGTTTAAAGTGCCCTATAAAGAAAATGGCATCGCCAAAATTCAAGGTGGTTTTGTCCCTAATATGCCACTGTAACACACATAGGATTGCACCTAATTGTCTTGACGAAGAGAATTGGGAAAGTGCCACAGTCTGTTTCTACTCTTACTGTTCATGGGGATAAGAAGGTTTTTTTCTTTTACTTCTCTGTATCA